GATCTAGAATCCGGGATCTGCTCACTTAGGCTGAGCTCTTGTCTTCTCGGACCTACTTATTTAGGCCGAGATCTTGTCTTCTGGGATTCGGGATCCAAGATCTGGAATCCGGGATCTGCTCACTTGGGCTGAGCTCTTTTATACTTGAATGTCATCTCCTTGGGAGCACTCATGCCCCCTGTCTTTGCGTCCCTTCTAAAAGGGTCTTCACTCCGTTTATGTCGACGCATTCTCTATTTTTGCTAAACTCGTCATTTTCGATATGTTGATCTTGTACAGTGATGGCCATCTATTCTCCTTTCTTTCCCACAGACGGCGCCAAATTGTGTGAGTGATTTTCTGACCACACTGCCCGCCTAGTAACCAGCTGGAGAGCACCGGCAGAACAGATGGCACCTGGCTGACCTGCAACAGAAAGAGAAGATTCCGGCGGTGGTTCGTCCACCCGGGAGCACTCCGACAATCAAGTCAGTATATCTCTCAAAGATAAATCAAGTGCTAAACTCACAAGCTTGAGTATCAAAAGCATCCCTTAGACCCATGGGGGTGTCTCTCTTTTATAGCCAACATAAACCTAGTCCCAATAGAAACCTAACTTTTATGGATTCAGGATTACTGCTAATCTTGGACTCCCAGTAATATTAGGATAAACTCTCTAAGAGTCTTATCTTAATACAAACTGAAGTCTTCTCTCATTCTAGGACTCTTGCCCCTCATCCGCTTTTCTTGGATTCCGATATCTTCGGAGGTAACCTCGGCCTATCCGAGATAACATCGGCATAACAACCAGGACATGTGGCACCTCGGCTGACACGTCGGCGTCACCTTGGCCACGTGTTGGTACTTAGAAAATATATCCCCACAATTGTGCATGGTGGTTTTCAAAGAAGATGTAAACAAAATCTTTTTCAAGGCATAACATAGCATAGCATGTGTATTTCATATTGGAAATTCTTGCATAAATGTATATACTTTGTTAAGATTTCTCTACTGGGCTTTATGCTTAGCCCTATGGGATTTTGGTCCGGGAAAGATGTGGTGAACCCACCAAACTAGGGCGTGGAAGTTTGTATTGAGAGTACACGGCTCTTTTTGTTGTGATTGTATTTTTGCTAGCCAAGGGCTCTAACTGTTTGGGTCCAAGAGGCCATTTTTGTGTAACCGAGCTTAAGCCTTGGAAATTGTAAGCCCTTTAGGGCATTTTATTTATATTTTGGGATTTGATGTTCTACATGCTATAGATTCATGTATTTTATATCCTTGAATGTATAACTCGCATGTGGGATTATTTTTGTACGAACCTTATGGATTAATGATGTAAAGGTTGGAGAATTGCTATTATTCTTTAATGGATGTTGGTTGATGTACCTAATTTATGTTAGATTATTTTAGGGCGTTACAATAAGGTTCACATTGAATTTTGCTAATAGAGAAGACTAGGTTTCAGTCAGTTAAATATGGGCTTGAGTCAGTGAATGCATGAACAATAATGCACCAAGATAAAAAAAATTAAAGTAATAGACATATAAAACAGATACACCAATTCATTAAGAAACCAGCAAAGTAGCTTTGGATTCAGTACAAACAAGACATTACATAAACCTAATATTGCTACAAAAATAGAAGGCTTCATCCATATGTACAAAGTGCAAATAGAGAGTAATGTTTCCAGAGAAACAATTTTGGGTTTGTGTTTGTTCTTCTGTAGAATTTCAACCACAACCATGTCAATGTCCTATTTTTTCTTACATAACAAAAAATAAAATGAAAAGATAAAACAATCACAAGGAGAAGTCAACAATTCACAAATGGATGCAAATTGGGGAAACAAATATCCTACTTTCAAACAAGATAAGCATCCAAACCTATTGAATCAAAGTGTCGTAAAGGACAATGCGCTTGTTCTTAAAGAACCCCATACATATATGCCTGCATAATGTTGACAAGCAAGGTCAGTCCAAAACAAAAACAAAAGCATCTCAGATTTAAGTAATATAAATATTGTGTGAGATTTCCAGATTCTGGGTTACAATATAACCTTTTGAGACAGAAAAGATAGCACCAACCATCAACTTAAGAATCAAAATCTGAAACAAAGAGTTTTGAAATTTCACAGAAGAACAAACACAAACCCAGTCAAATGAATCATGAAATTATGAAATCAACATCAAACCCATAAAACTCTAGAAATCAAACCAATTAAACTAAACCCATTTAAGAAATCAACACAAAATTAAACTAAATAAATCATTTCAAACCCTAGAGCAAGAGTTGGAAATGGGAAAATAGAGGAAGAATATCAAACCCTAGAGCAAGAGTGAGAAATGGGGGAAATAAAGGAAGAATATCAAACCCTAGAGCAAGAGTGAGAAATGGAGAGAGAGGGTGGTGATTTGTGGCGGTGGCTGTGGCGATGTGCAATGCAGGTCTGCTTCATGGTGGTGAGCGACTGCGGTGAGGAGGTGAGGTTTGGTGGTGCCTGAGATTCTCTGTGAGAGAGAGATTTGAAACTTTTTGTATTCCTATTCTGCTTCAGACTTGGGCGCCAATCTATATCACTAAAATTTTACACCTTTAGTGACTGAATTCACTTTTTGTTGGAAAAACTTTATTTATAACGACTAAATTATTTGGTAGCCAAATCTTAAGTAATGGCGACTAAAATGTTAGTTGCCAAAAGTATCAATTTGGCGACTAATTTTATTTTATATTTTTTTTTGGGAAAAATAAGTATATGACGACTAAATTTTTTTTATTTGCAACCAAAATAGTTCAATAACAATTAAAACGGTGTAGTTTTATTATCTATGACCAAAATATTTTAGTTGCTAAAATTTTTTTCATTCCCGCTTTTTTTTTGGTCTTCCCTCTTCGACTTTTGCTGACCAAATTTCAATTTTGAAAATTATATTTTGGCAACTAAAAAATATTAGTCGGCAAAACTCCAAACCTTTGCCTACCAAATTTTTATTTAGTCGCCAAATGAAAACTTTTGCAACTAAATTTTATTTAGTCGGAAAAATTGGTTGGGAAAAATGTAAATTCCTGTAGTGCCCATAGACATATATGCTTGATTAGAGGGTTAGTTGATTGCCCAAAGAGAGGTGGTTTTGTTGATTAAGATTTAGTTTCTTCTATTTTTTTTACTTTCTATTTTTCTCTTTCTCTGTAATTGGTTTATTAACTAAACTTTAGCAAGAGAGAAGTGTAATATGAAGAGTTTGAGACTTAAGCTTAGGAAAGTGAAATAGTGTTGTAACTAACTAATTCTGTAATATCACCGAGACTTGAGTATAATATGTTCATGAGTTTGCTAATCATACATTTTATTTAACTAATTGATACATTTTTCTTGCTACATTTTGGGCTTTGATACACTTTAATTTTACACAATGGGGGTGAGTGGCAATGCACGATTTTTCTTTCCATGCCTTTTCTTTTAAAACATTACCTATCAATAATTGACATGAGAGATGGTTTGCTAATATTGCAATAACTGAGATTATATTCTTTTTGAATTTCAGCTAAAGTTCCAATGAGACCAACATCCTCAATTAGAACAAAAAAGATTGATAATTTGGGTAAGTATAACAGTGATACTATAAGAAAGGAACAATTTTTCTTTGAAATTATTTTGTGAATAAATTTTTCATGTACTACATAAAAGATTGGACAGGAGAAGATTAATCCCAACATTATTTCTACCATGCCTTTAGGCACAAACATACACTAATATATATAATACCTAAAATACCCCTCTAAATACAAAGTAAATAAAAAAAATGTTCATATATTCTTCTTAATCATTATCCATCCAAATAAAAAACTCAGGAGAAAAAAAAAATTTCCCACCTAGATAAAAAACTCCAATCATTTATTTATTCTTCTTTTTTTTCTCACCTTATTATCGAGTGTTAAGATAGTTGAAATTGAGGCCTTGAAAAGTGAAAGCGAACCAAAAAAAAAAAAATCGGCTGTATTTGGGAAAGCTCTGGAACTATCCTTCCAGAGCTTATTTAGCACATGACATTTGTTTATGACTTTCAAAAGTTAATTTCACGTTTAATTTTGAAAACTCGATTGGAGATGAGAAAATTTAAATTAACTGATCGTCCGCTTAGTTGACTGAAACAATATAATTTTTTTTTTTTTTTTGCAATTCACACATGTTAATTTTATATATTCGAAAAAAATATTTTCTGAATTTTTTAAAAAAAAATTATGAGCTTTAATAGAATTTTGAGTTATGTGTTTAGTTATGAATTGTAAGTTTTTGTATCAAATATCATATGTCACATCAAAAATTCTCCACTCAATTAAAAACTCTTTCATCAAATAAATTTTCTACACTCAAATTATAATTATAAAACTTACAAATTCAAAATATAACTCCTACTCTCAAATTATATTTAGAAAGTTCTACCAAACGCAACTCAATTTTAAAACCACCCCTCGTGGCGTGTATCCAAACACAACCTAATATGTTATGGTAGGAGCGAGGAATTTGGGAGAAATCTCATTATTGGGGGTGTTGGTGGCTTAATCACCAACAAATTAGGTTAATCGGATTGTCCAGTCTATAATCGAATTAGACTGTGTTGTTAGACTCGTGGAGACCCACCACGGATCCTGTTTTGATAATTTGAACCGTTCAATATGTAGAAATCGTTGAGTACTATATGTTTATAAAAAATCACGTTAATCGGATATCGATAGCTATATAATCAAATCAGTTTTGTATAAAAAAAATAGACGGTGAATAAATTAACGGTTGACAAAAATCTGTTTTAATCACATAGCTATCGATATCCGATCAACGTGATTTTTTATAAACATATAGTACTTAACGAGTTCTACACATTGAACGATTCAGATTATCAAAAAAGAACATGTGATGGGCCTCCATGAGCCTAACAGCACCGTCCAGTCCGATTAAGGACTGTACAGACGCCATTCCCTTTCTCCAAAATCTAAAGCAACCCACCACTCTGCCTGCGTGAGTCCGACTCACACCGCACCTTCATCTTTTTGCGAAGCAAAATGGAGATTCTACCTACCAATTTCCATCACTCACCATCCCCAACCCACCATCACCATCACCATCATCGTCACCCATGGTTTTTAGTCTTCCTCCTGTGTTTTCTTCCTTCATCTGATTTGGTTTCTCCTCCATTCCCTTCTTCTGATTGTTAACCAACAATGGAGGCAAAGCTGTTGCGAGTCGCCTCTCCTCCCATATCGATACCTACTGCTTTCAGGTATTTGAAACCCATTTGCCTTCTCTCCCACCATAACAGCCTAAGTGGCAGATTTGGATTCCTCAATTCAAACTTGCCAAACCATGGCATCCAATCGCTTCAAGCCTCTGCAATTTCCGTTGGGTACACATCTAAAATTCTTATTATTGTTATTATTGTTGTTGTTGTTATTTATTTATTTATTTTTCTGGGCTCTGTATTGTTAGCTCAATTCTGTGGGTATGGGTAAATTGTAATTCATCGTTTGTAGTCTGTCTTATAGCAAAAGTTCCTATGTTTTTGCTCACTGTTGTCATTGTAGTGTAATGTGTTATCTTTAAGTTTGGATTCTGCTCCGAACTACAAATGGGTTTAATTCTATTTTTTTGAACAATTAATTGAAGGGCTAGATTGACTATACGTATGATTTAGATTTACCTTGAATCCTGATTTCTTGAACTGTTAAATATATATATATATATATATATATGAGATTGAGACCTGCCTGTTTGGTTTCGTGTTTTTCTATAAGTACAGAAAACTTTGTGTTAGAATGAGATGTGGCTCAATGTCAACTAACAGAACATCCTTGAAGTTAGTTTTTATTTACAAAACTGTTATTGTCACATCATTCTCATTTGTGTGTAGGTAAAGTTATTCTTATTAGATGGTTACAAATTAAATAGCCACATCCTAGAGAACCCTATGCCGAATGGGCAATTATACTTTGAGCCCACTTGATTAATTTGAAAACTCTGTTCATTTAGAAACTCAAAATAAAAAAACAAAAAAACAAAAACAAAAAAAAACCAAGAAGTATAAACCTATGTGTTCTGAATGAAGAGTGATCAGATTTGTCCAAATATCCTAACTTTTTTGATCACCGGCCATTCAATTAAAAGACTGACCAATGGCCTTTTCAGTTTGTTTTGTTCGACTGTGCTCTGAATTTTCGGAGAGAGTTTTGACTCTATGAGGTTCAAAACTGCATGCTTTTCTTTACGGGTATCACTATTTCAATCCACGAAATACTTTTTTACAATGCTCTTTTTAAGCTGATTTCTTGTCATTATGAATGTCCTCTTGTATGGGTTTCTCTCATTCTTGAAGAAGAACACCAGTACAGCAGACCAAACTTCATTCTATCTCTTTCTCAAATTTCAATACAGAGAAGGCAATCTTTCAACCAGTGTCACTTGCCGAGAAATTTGCTTCTTACCTGGAGCACTGTTCAGATATTGTTTCTTTGAGAACACTTCATGCTTCCATATTCACATTTGAACTCCAAAACAACATCTTTGTGGGCTCCAAGCTCCTCAATTGCTATGCTAAGCTTGGGTTCTTAACTGATTCTAGATGGGTATTTGACAAGATCGTTAATAACAGCCTCTCTCTCTGGAATTCAATTCTTGTTGGATATTTTAGAGCTGGTTACCACGATGAAGTTTTGGTTCGATATTTGGATTTAAGACAACGAAACATTGGTGTGAACGGTTCAGCCATCATGTTTAGTTTGAAAAGTTGTACTGAGTTGGGAAGTCTACAATTTGGCAGAGGAATTCATGTGGATGCTTTAAAATTTGGGATGAGTGCTGATCGTTTTGTGGGCTCATCGCTCGTTGGATTGTATTCTACATATGGTGATACTGACAGTGCATCCAAAGTGTTTGATGAAATAATTGAGAGAGATGTGGTTGCTTATACGTCCATGATTACAGGGTATGCTCAAAGTGGTTATCGCCACGCTTATGAAGCTTTTGGTGTTGTTCGGGCTATGCAGGAAGAAGAACTCTGTCCTAACCGGGTGACTTTAGTGAGCTTACTTCAGGCTGCTGGACACTTGGATGCACTGGAAGAGGGTCAGTCTATCCATGGCTATGCTATTAGAAGAGGTATTGGATCTTCAGATGAAGTTTTTGAAACCAGTCTAATGGACATGTATATCAAATGTGGGGCCATGAATACGGCGGCCTCAATTTTCAGCAAAATGAGCACAAGAACAGTTGCTTCTTGGAATGCATTGATTGCTGGTCATCTTCAAATGGGGCGGCCACTAGAAGCTTTGAATCTTTTCTTTATTATGGTGCAACAAAACCTTGAGCCTGATTTGATTACTTTAGCAAATGGGATTTTGAGTTGTGCTGATTTGAAGTATTTGAATGAAGGAAAGAGTATCCATGGGTACATAATTCGAACAGGGCTTCGGGTTGATATAGTAGCTACCACAGCTTTGATTGACTTGTACTCAAAATGCAACAGTTTAACCCATGCCAGAAAAATCTTTAATAGAATGGAGGCAAAGGATGTTATTTCATTTAATGTGATGATGGCAGGTTATCTCCAAAATGGGTTTGCTTGTGAGGCCATGAACACATTTTATGAAATGGTTGGAACAGGTATTATACCAAATCTTAGTACCATCTTAAGTATACTTTCTGTATTTTCGGATCTGAAAGACGTAAGACAAGGCAGGGGAGTCCATGGATATATATTCAGACACGGGTTGGATTTGCATAGTGAAATAGCTAATCAAGTCATCTACATGTATGCAAAATGTGGATACATAGACTCTTGTGGACAAGTCTTTGATAGAACAAAATATAAAGACTTGGTTTCATGGACATCAATAATGATGGGTTATGTACATCACGGGCGTGCTGATAAAGCCATAGCTCTTTTCCACCTGATGCAAAGAGAAAAAGTAACTGCCGACTCTGTCACTTTTTTGAGCCTGCTTCAGGGATTTTCTCAGCTGGGATGTTTAAGTCTAGCAAAGGAAGTTCATTGTCGGATATATCGGGTTTCATTGGAGCTAGAGATGCCAGTCATCAATTCTCTAATTACTACTTATGGAAAATGTGGAAAACTAAACATTGCTAGTGCTCTGTTTGAGCACATGAGTGAACGGTGTTTGACATCATGGAACACAATGATTGCTGCATATGGGATGCACGGAAAATGCGTTGAAGCACTTAAATTGTTTGACCGAATGAAGGAGGAAAAGGTTGCTCCGGATGAGGTAACCTTCACTTCGTTGATCTCTGCATGCAGTCATTCAGGCTTGGTAGAACAGGGCCTAAATATTTTCAGGTCCATGAAAGAAGAATATTTTTTAATTCCAATTGAAGAGCATTATGGGTGTATGGTAGATTTATTAAGCCGAGCAGGACAGATTGAAGAAGGGTATGATCTTCTGAATTGTTTGCCATTAAGACAAAGAACTTCTGCATTGGGTGCTTTGCTTGCCGCTTGCAGAGTTCATAAGAACACTCAAATGGGTGAGGTTATAGGAAGGCAACTTCTGAATTTAGAGCCTGATAACCCAACTGCTTATGGTTTGCTGTCAAATTTATACACTGAAGTGGGCAAATGGAATGATGCTGCCAGCATAAGAACTATGTCAAAGGACAGAGGTTTAAAAAAGACTCCTGGATATAGCCTGATAGAAATAGATAAGCAGGTATGTCAAATGTGAATGTGTACTATCAATCAAATTGATTCTGTGTCTTTCAGAAATATGATACAGCATTATTGACTCTAATTCTTTAGTATGTGAAAAAAAGAAGATGATTGTACAATATAATAGTGATAATCTGGGTTCTCTAGGACGTGGCTATTTAATTGGTACCATCTGATAAGGAAAACTTTACTTGTACAAAAGATATATATATAGAAAACACTAGAAGAATAATGTGACAATGGATGTTTTGTTTTAAAATAGAAGGTTGACATTGAGCCACATCTCTTTCTGTATTTTGTGTATCATTACTGATCTAATAAAAGTGTTTCATGGTTTCAGTTGTTAGGAGTTTTCCTTTGTGGAGATGTTTCTCAGTTTTGTTTCAAAGAAAGGTCTAAAGTTAGCTCTTGCTTTTTCTAGATTTCTGAAGAAAGAAAGGATTGATGAGACTGACAGCTACACTCTAGACGGTATAAGACATTCTTTAATTCGACAAGAGGACAGCATCATATTTAGCCTCCTGGAGAGAGCTCAATATTGTTTCAATGTTGACACGTATGACCCTAATGCTTTCTTCATGGATGGATTCCACGGCTCGTTGGTTGATTTCATGGTCAAAGAAACTGAAAAGCTTCATGCTCGGGTATGTTATGCCTTAATTTATGAAAGGAGGGAAATAGAATGATTTTATTGCTAGTTTCTGATTTATTTTTTAGTGCACATCAGGTTGGAAGATACAAGAGTCCCGATGAGCATCCTTTCTTCCCAGATGACTTACCAGATACAATGCTGCCACCTCTGCAGTACCCTCAGGTAAGACAATAGATACAATGGTTTAAGTTAATTTACTCTGAGCCAGAATTATCATTGACATATTGTAACATAATGCATAACATGCAAATTTATGAAGTTTGGATTGGAACATGGCAAACTTGGAGGGTGTTTGTTCATGACTTCTTGAGCTCAATTTAATTTGATGAAGTCAACCACATAGATTTGCTACATACATGAAACTTTATCAAATCTAAGTGTAGAATGTAATCTTGATGTTAATTTAGTAAAATCTTGGTATCAACTATTACAATTGGGAAACTCTCTCTCTCACTATGCACTTGTTTGTGTTCGCAAATTTTTATGCCAGCCATCACTGACATAGCCCCTTGTTTTATATATTCAAATAGGTTCTTCATCCCATCGCTGAGGCAATCAATATCAACAATAAAATATGGGATATGTATTTTGGGGATCTTCTTACAAGACTAGTCAGGGAAGGAGATGATGGTAACTGCGGTTCAGCTGCAGTCTGTGACACAATTTGCTTGCAGGTATAACATTTTAACATATAATTAATCTTGATTAGTTTGAACTGTGAATTATTGGAACAGGAGATGATTTTACTGCAGTAATGTACTGTGAACTGCATTTTAATGCTTCCGAGTGTGTGCTTGCTTTAACACACCTATTTGTAGATGGTAATTTGTTTTTAATTTGATTTTGTCCATGAAGCTCATCATGTTTAATTTTCTACGAATGGTAAAGCAAGTAGCCTAAACTGAATATCCTACGTTGAATTATAAACAAGACATTTTCCCCGTTGTAAAACAGTGAATGATCCATTTGCCGAGTATTAGTGACTGCCTACTTTGTTCACTAGTTACATTAATGATCCAACATTCTTTCTCATGATAGAAGTTATGGATGGATTTGTTGCTTTTGAAGATATATGCTGAATAATTATATATATATTAGCATAACGTTTTTAGATATGTTTTTTATATATCCCAAAGCATGGTATTTAACGTAGTGTTGGGGATTAACCATTCTAACTTGCAACTATTCCTTCTATGTATTGCTGTACTTCTGTTTTCAGGCTCTCTCAAAGAGAATTCATTATGGTAAATTTGTAGCAGAGGCTAAATTTCGAGCTTCACCAGCTGCATATGAAGCTGCCGCCATTAGAGCACAAGTATATATTTTATTTTTCAGATGCACCCCAGTGCATCCATTCCTTTAGTATAACTTTTTCAAAACCTTGTGTGCTGAAACAGGTCATGATCACTTTGATTTTGTTAAATTGTGGTGCTTGTGATTTTGCAGGACAGGACTCGACTGATGGATTTGCTGACATATCCCACTGTGGAAGAGGCGATAAAGAGGAGAGTAGAGATGAAAGCCAAAACTTACGGGAAAGAGGTGACTGATAATAATAATGTCGAGGAAGATGGAGCTGATCCGGTATGCAAAATAAAACCAAGCTTGGTTGCTGACCTATATGGGGACTGGATCATGCCCTTGACAAAGGAAGTTCAAGTTGAATATTTATTGAGAAGGCTTGATTGAATTAAGGTCAGTTTCTAAAAATAAAATCATATATGTATATTATACTACAATATGAAGAAATGGTCTAAAGCCACTTTGACACGTGTACACGCAGTGTGTTTATGAATAAAGTCTCCGAATGCTGTTTATGATTGTGATGTCTGTATGTACAAGAGGATTCTGGCACATGTCTTGATCATGTGAAAATAGGATGCAAGGTTGATATTTCAGAAGTTGTAAGTATTTTTTTTTTTTTTTTTTTTTTGCTGAGTAGATGCGACTCTGGTTATTGGTTCGGATAAAACTGTGTTGTAGTAATCAATCACGGATTGAATTAGAATTCTCCGCAGTGAAAGCTTTATGCTTACGTTTAAAGTTATTACATCATTTTGAAGTGTGATTTTAATGTTAGGTTTAACTCGAATAGTTAAATTTATGTAGGTCTTGTTTGACGAAGAGTTTTTTTTTTTTAGATTAAAATTCATATAAAGATAAAATATGTTAAAATAGTTAATAAAATAAAATATCATATCAAATTTATATTTATTTATTTTTTTTATAAATATTACATCACATTCAATTATAAAAAAATTTAATTATCTTTTTAAATATAAATATTTTGATCTATTAAAATAATTTAAAATTAAATAAATTATTAAAATAGTCAACTTTTTAAAAGAGACCTACTTTACAGAATTGTATTGTTATGATAAGAAAACAAACATAGTAAGAAGTTATTATAGAAAAAAGAGGGGGTGGTGACAGACAAACCAACTCTCACAGACACCGTTTGGGAAAAGTTATTTGGGGTATTTTTTTTAGCTATTTTAGTCGTAAAAGATAAAATATGTTATTTTAACTATAAAAAATAAAATATCACATTCAATTCATAATTATTACACTATTCTCTCATAAAAAAAAAGTTAAAAAATCAAAAAGTTCTTTCCAAACTAAGGCCTTGTTTGGCATGATCTAAAAAAGTCAAAAAGTTAAAAAGTCACCATTCTATTTAAGTCACATCATCTTATTTAAGTCACATCACTTCAAACCCAATCCATACCGAACTCATATTTTATAAAAAGTCAAAAAATACATTTATTTAGATTATCTTTACATCATTTTGAAGTGTGATTTTAATGTTAGGTTTAACTCGAATAGTTAAATTTATGTAGGTCTTGTTTGACGAAGAGTTTTTTTTTTTAGATTAAAATTCATAAAAAGATAAAATATGTTAAAATAGTTAATAAAATAAAATATCATATCAAATTTATATTTATTTTACTTTTTTTTTATAAATATTACATCACATTCAATTATAAAAAAATTTAATTATCTTTTTAAATATAAATATTTTGATCTATTAAAATAATTTAAAATAAAAAAGAAAAGAAAAAGAAAACAGTTTCCAGAAAAGGAAATTAGGGGGATTAGGGGGAGGGATTTTAGGGCTCTAAATCATTTTCCTATAGAAAAAAGAGGGGGTGGTGACAGACAAACCAACTCTCACAGACACCGTTTGGGAAAAGTTATTTGGGGTATTTTTTTTTTGGCTATTTTAGTCGTAAAAGATAAAATATGTTATTTTAACTATAAAAAATAAAATATCACATTCAATTCATAATTATTACACTATTCTCTCATAAAAAAAAAGTTAAAAAATCAAAAAGCTCTTTCCAAACTAAGGCCTTGTTTGGCATGATCTAAAAAAGTCAAAAAGTTAAAAAGTCACCATTCTATTTAAGTCACATCATCTTATTTAAGTCACATTACTTCTCTAACACATCACTTCAAACCCAATCCATACCGAACTCATATTTTATAAAAAGTCAAAAAATACATTTATTTAGATTATCTTGAATTACTCTTAAATTTTTTAGTCCAAACTAAAATAACTAAAAAAATAAAAAAACTAAAAAACTAACCCACTCACCAAACAGATGCAGAATTTGTTTGGGCCACAAATTTTAAGGTCTATTTAATTGTTTTTTAAAAAAATATATAAAAAAGTAAAAAAAATATCAAATAAATTGGTAAATTATTTATTTTTTTAATTATCAGGCCTAATTTCGAAGTGGACCCCCAACCGGGTGTTGCGGTTAGAGAGCAGGCAACCCCACATGCAAAATGCAGGAATAAAGGAAAAGGCTCTGATTTTCGTGCCTTTTCATGAAAAATTTAAAAGTGAAATGTAATATTATAGTGTTTGATCTAAATTTTTTGGATTAAATTTTTTAAAAATTAAATTTTTTGATTTTCGTATTTTTTTGTTTTTAGTGAATATTTTTAAATTTTTAAACATTTTTTTACTTTTTTTAGATGCACCTTACTTAGATGTGTCTAAAAAGTAAAAAAATTGTGAAAAAATATTTTAAAAAATTAAGAAATACATAAAAATACAAAAAATATATTAAATTCTTGTATTTTTTTATATTTTTGGTATTTAGTGAATTTTTAAAAGATTTTTTTTACAAATTTTTTACTTTTTAGGTGTATTTATGTTAGGTGTGTCGAAAAAGTAAAAAATTTGCATAAAATATTAAAAAAATTTAGTAAAAACAAAAAAACACGAAAAATAAGAGTGTAGAATTTTCTGAAAACTGTTTTTAAAAAATGGAAACCAAGCAATATTTTTTTAAATATGATTTTATTTATGTTTGTTGGTGTTTTTTTATAAAAATATAAGAAAAATATATAAAATAAATTAAATAGAAATAACAAAATAACAAAATAATAATAATAATAATTATTATTATTATTATTAAAGAATGAATACAATAAACTATAGAATTAAAAAAAAAATACAAAAATAAACTAAATTATACCATGGAACGTATTATAAGATGGATTCAAATAGACATATAAAATAATATACGAAAAATTATTTAAATTTAAAACTTTGAATAACAAAAAATAAATGATACAAACCGAAACCTGTGTAATATCACAGTTTCATTAACAGATTCACCGCCTCCTAATGAGTGTTAGAGGTACGCCGACGTCTGTCTCCTAAGATATAACGGTTGAAATTAGCTAATGCAGAAGCACCATCTGAATACTTCGGCGAACTTGACAATGGATACACTCTCTCTAATAAAAACCAAAGAAGGGGCTAGCAAAAGAAGATAGGAAAAAAAAAAATTGGTGTAAAATAAACATCTCCAACTTTTTATCTCAAAACACTATCTCAATTTTCCATCAAAAATCTCTTTAAAATTCCTTTTACAAGTTGGAGGGGAAATGCCTCTATTTATACAAGTGGGGGAATCCCTATCCATAA